GGTATGGTATCAGTCACAACCTTTGCATCTCACAATTACTTAAATGCACAGAAGAGCGTCGAGTGAACGAAACAAAACAGATAAGTTATTTTCAGCTGGGAGTGTGACATTCACCGAGCTGTTCGGATTTTAGAACAGAGGTGGATATTATTTTTTTTTATTTTGGAGCTTCGGATGCACAGATTACCCATGCTGTGACGTTAGCAAAGGCAGTAACATATATAGGAGTATGAGCGGAAGTGGCAGTAGTCAGGCAGCGAAAATATTTGCTTATTTTTTCTAGGAGTTCATTACCCTTACCCGGAAATATACAGGGTCTCCCAAAAAATGTATACGCATTTTAATTAATTGTAAACTTGGTGCTTATTATAATTTTATTATTTCAAAAAAGTTAAAAATATTTAAAGTATCATTTTATTGTTTTTAACTGCATTTTGACTATTACAGCAGTGGTTGAATTAAGAGAAGCCGCTGAACATGAATGCACCCAAAGACTAAGATAATTGATTAACGGTATGTAAGCTTCCATTGCTTTGCGTTGTCAGCAGTGTCCTGATCAAAATGGACCTCAGTTTGAGAACATTCAGTAAAAAAAAACAATAAAATGAGACTTGCTAATATCTTTACATTTATTTAATAGTAAAATTATGATAAACACAAATTTTACAAATAGGTAGAATGTGCATACGTTTTTTGGGACACCCTGTATATGAAATCGAAATATTCGCACGAACGGCCTTTCGTCGCTCACTAACCTGGTTAGCCTCAAAGTACGCAAGAATTGCAATAAACATAGAACATTCAATGCTTATTTTATGATAGTAACTACCAGGGTGGCGTTATTTGTATTTCGAGAGGATACGATATTAGACATATATCTTCAATGATCTGCAGGAGTTGCGTTTGGATATAGGTGGCGCTAGTATGGGAATTGGCCTATCGTTGGCTGGAGACAATTAATAAGCCAGAGAGTATCTTCTCGATGTCTTTGATATGTATCGGAAGCACTTCCTTCAGGCACAAAAAGCTCCAATTTTCCTCTGACTAAGGTCAAATTGGATAAATTCTCAGCAACCAACTTGTTGCAGACGGGCTAACAGATGTAACTAAAGCAAACAAAACGCATTTCTTCTACTGCTGTAATGAATTCACTGAACTGTAAAAATGTTCCCCAAATTATGACTTAATAGCCCATAGAAATGCAGCGCTTCTGGATACGCCG